ATTGGGAAGTCTGTACCTCTCAAGTACCTCAGTCAATAGGGAAAGAGAGAGGGGAATATGCAGCCAGGAAATTAGGATAAAAAGGAAGCTGCATCCTCCAAAAATTTCAGACACCCCAGAGGAATGCCCCATGGCCTCTCCCTTTATTGGAATAAAGTAAAAGGACTCCTCTGTCTCCTTTTTGGACATAAACCTCTGATGTTTGGGGATTAATTTTCCTGACAATGTCTATTCTGGGAATTTACATTGGGGAAGTGCTGGAGGTCTCTCCAGGTAGGCAGTTATCAACACCCACACAAATGAACCAGAAAAAAAACTGCCTAGAATTCTAAAAACTAACATTTTTGGTGAGAAAATAAAGCTGGCAGGAAAGGCGCTGGGGGTCTGAAGATGACAGGCAGAGCCAAGGCAGGGCAGAGTGAGATCCCAAAACAGGAGTGCACACCAAGGAGAAGGGTGCAGGACCTGCAGAGAGGCAGCTACAAAAGGAGGGATCTTCCTCTCCTGACCTGAGTCCATATCCATGGGCCTCATTTACAGCCTCAGAGAGGAAAACCCTTGGATGAAGACTCACCCTTTGTGCCTGCAACTCTGCACAGCCTCATCACCACAGAGAGAGTGCTAAATAAATCAACAAAATTCGGAATATTTTTCTGAAGGGGCAAAAAGTAGGTCAGTGCTGAGATTTTCGTCAGCAAAGGTGCTGCAGGAACCCATTTGTGTCAGTTTGTGACACAAAGGCTTTGTGCTGATGGGGCCACGGTGCAGCCAATGATGTTTAAAATCCCAAATACCCAATAGTCCTAAACTGCAACCATGGCAGCTGAGTGCCACCAAAGCTCCAGCTTCTAATAAAGGCTGAATAGAACAAGTTTGGCTTTGCAGATTGATTGCAATGGTGCTTGAGTGAGTGAAGGTGTTCTGCTGGCTTTTAAAGCAATTGTTGCTGAGGGAAGGGTCTCTGAATTTTTCATTTTGGAGTAATCAGGAAAGCTGTGCTTGGCTGACAGGGAGAACTAACAGGGGAGAAAACTAGGGCACACCAGGAGCTTAGAGCAGATGGGTGCTAGCAGCAAAGAACAAACCTGTGGCCATGTGAACACGGGATTTAACTGCAAACACCTCCAAAGAAAAGTGTTTTTTTAATGTGCCACTTCCTTCAGGTGCTGTTCCCAAATGACTCTGGGCAGGGCATGGGTCCTGCTATAGTGTCACACACCTCTGGCAAAGCTCGTGTTCAAAGGAAAGATTTCAGACAAGGTGCTAAACTGAAATGAAAAAGAATATGGAAACTGAAATCTTCCTCTGTTGAGAGCAGCTAAGTCACACGATGCTGCCACAGGTCTCTGTGTGAGTTACTGAAAACTTGACCACAATGCTATTTAACAGCTTGGAAAACAGAAAATAAAACACAAGAACCAAGCCTGGCTCCCTGTGTTAAACCCAGGCAGAATGATGATCTCCAGACCCAGATTCAGCTTCCAAGAGGTTGCCCCCACTGCCAGACTGAGCCCAAAAATGAAAATTCACTCCTCAGGGCTGATGGCTGCTAAACCTTCCTTAGGAAACAAGTTCAGGTGAGAGTTTCAGAAGCTCTCAGATGATTTTTTCCAAGCAGCACTCTGCCAGAAACAAGAGTCCTCTTTGGGCAGAAGAGTCCATTATTGTTCTGCAGGTTTTTTTCCCTCATCTGAGCCTTCTCCTAAAGCATTTGGGAGCTGCCAGTGTTGGTATATGGACGTGAGCTGCCCAACTCCCACCCATGGATGCTCCCTGTCCCAGCACACTTCACCTGCTGCACAATGGGAGCTACAGATGTGTCCTCAGTGCCAAAAAAACCCCAGCCAGACAAGCAGACTTTGCTGTAAAATATCTGTCCTTGCACTTTGTGTGCTGCAGCACAGAATGCATTCAAGCTCTAGAAGGAGCTGGGTTAGCACTCAGGTGCTGTAGAAGAGGTTGCTCCTTTTTTTTCCAGTGTTTGCCATCCTTGGCTGCTCCTTCCCCTGCCAGTGAATGGTAAATTTTCTCATTTTTCACGTAATAAAATTTCATTTCATAAAATGCCCGTGTACCAGAGGTGAGCAGGGTGAGAAAACAAAGTACTTTTCTGCTGGAGACCAGTGTTTCTATTCACCTAGCTGTGATAACTTCTTGTGCTTTGTGATCTCCCTTTGCACACCCATTGTGGCACCCAAAAATTCCCCTTGGAGAAGCCACCAGACAAAGACAGGCCCTTGTAGGATCCTGTTCCCACCTGAGTTTGGTCCCTCAGGCTTCCTTCCCCATGTGCTTCTGTCTCAGAGCATAACAGAAGGTTGTTTTGGTAAGCAGCAATTTTGAGGGATTCAGTACTAGAACACCACGATTGAAATGAGAAGTCTTGAATTAAAATATTTCACTGCAGCTGAGCCAAATATCTTAATTGCAGAAAGATATTTCTGCAGTATCTGTGGCAGAAATTCTAGGAAATTCCCAGGGGTCTGATTTGCCATCAGTGTGGACTGACACTCCAGTCTGTGCTGCTTTCAGAAAGCTTCATGAGAAGTAAATTTGGTAAGTAAAATGCAGCTCCTTCTGCCACAAAATGAGATTTCCCCTGCTTCTTACCCCTTTTGAGACTTGGCATCATGTCCCATCCAAGGAATGCTTCACCAAGACACAGAATATGAGTTTCAAAGCACAGAAGGAGTAAAATCAACAGGTTTGCTGCCACTTTTGTTTCTTCTTCAAGTACTTTGGGATTACTGTCTGATTCTTACACAGGAGAAAGACAAAAAAGCACCTGCAAGATTCTTGATGAAGCTGCAAAATCTGCTTCATATTTTATGGTAGAGATGTCATGGGGATATACAATAAGGTCTTAGGAATAGGTGGAGCTTTATTCTGTCTGTCCAGCAGAGCAAAACAGGCAGTGGGACAAGAGAATGACTCTGCTAGAAAGAAATGGGGGAAACAATTCAAACTGAGGGGTGATTTAGCTGTCAAAAGCTGACAATGGATCACCTTCATGTTTTGATAATGTTTTCTTATTGTGGAAGAGAGAACACTGACTTTTTTCTCAGCCTTGCCATGTGTGTGCAGGCACAGGCTTGAACAGGAATGTCAGGAATCCAGAAAAGCCATCATACAGAGTTAACAGTGCATAATAAAATTCACAGATCTTGAAAAGATCTACAAGGCACGAAAAAAAAAAAAAAAAAAAAAAAAAAAAAAAAAAAAAAAAAAAAAAAAAAAAAAAAAAAAAAAGAAACAGAACCAAACGAGGCTATGAAATTTTAAATGCACTAAACAACAGAAATGGATGCAATTAGTGCCACTTTGACTAATCCAGCCTGGGACAGCTTTTCTGCCCCTAAATGAAGCTGGCAACACTTCCCACCAAGCTCTTCCTGAAGGCTGTGCCATGGGCAGATATCACCTGCTCACCTGGGCAGATCTCTGCACCCTCCCATGCTCCAGGAGCCCACCTCCCTGACATCCCATGCCTTTCAGCCTGCATTCCACAGCAGGATTTAAATGGAGAGCTGTTAGAAAATTATGTTTCCTTCAGTTTCAGGTGCTCTTTATTTTATGAATCCATTTGGAGAGTGCAGAGGATGGGAATTGCATGTGAAGTGTATTAATTTTTGCAGTGCTGCTAATGAGAAGTTTATGGTTGGGTTATTTTATAACATTAACTGCCATATAAAATGCTTAAAGTAATTTATGTTGCTACTCAGGCTGCGAAGGACTCCTGCTCCTCCTCTTCCCTTCCTGATCTGTGGACAAAAATTGGCACTGGGAGGCATCAAGTTTTTTGGGAAGATAATTCCTTCAATTTAGTATTATTTCCAGGGCTATAAAACATAACATAAAGAGTGATCTCTGTCATCATGAGAAAACTGTCTTGAAAATGTAATCCTTTTGCATCCTTAGGACAATCCATGCTTTAAGCACCACTGCTCATGTTATTTTTGAATGGGTAGAAGTTAGAGCAGTTTTCTTTGAGCTGTGGTGAGCAAAGGAGGCAATTTGGTTGCTGTGGTATTCTGGATGGGTGGCACAGACACAGTGATGTTGTCTAGGCTTGGCCTCAAGTCCAACACACCAACACCATCAAACAGCCTTAAAAATGCATGAAAAACCATGCAGACAAAGTGAATGTTTGCCAAAGCACAGGACACCACCACTGAACCCTCCTCCTGGCACTGGCATTGCTTGTGGGGCCCTCCACGTCAGGATTTCTGCCCAAAGGTTTCCCTGCCAGCACAGGAGGAAGCAGCAGAAGTAAGAATGTCACTTCTTGGCCAATGTGGATCTTCAGGAGAAACACAAGGAGTGAAAATACTGACTTCTTAAACCAGCTGAGGATTTCCCAGGCGACAGAAGTTCTGCAGAACATCACACAGGTGCTGTGGCAGAATGAGGGAGAAGGGTGTTTGTTGGAATGGGAAATGGATAGGTGGGACTGGCAGGATAAAACAGAGTTTTTCTTCGTCTGGGAAGAAGGGAGGAAGAAACCCACCCATTCCAGAGTGCCAAGCAGAAGGCAAACAGGGAATGAGCCTTTCCTGCTCCTTCTAATGAAACAGCACAGGGAACATCTGCCTCTTGCAGGTAGCAAGGACAAGATGAACAGAAGATTAGTCCATGGAATAAAAATTCATTAAGACTGGATGAAAATACAAAGGTAATTAATTCCACTGGTTCAGGAAGTCCTTCAGCTGTGTTGGGTTACTCAGAGAAGCACCTTCTGATGCTTGCCCTGTGTGGGTTAATAGGGACCTTAAATATGCTCTAGTTCCAACCCCCAGTGGGATTGCAGTTCATGCTTTTAAGGATTTTTACTGGATATTTCTGTAATCCACCTGTATTGGGAATTACCTGAAACCACACAACTGGAAACAGGCAATTCCATGTCCTTGCTGGCTGCCAGGATCAAGGAGCAGGCAGTGAAAATGTATCACTACCAACACATCTTCCACTTCCCTCAGAGTGAGAATAGGAACAAAGGCGGCTGTCTGAAAATAATAACACTTTATTTGATTTTTTTTTGTGTGTGTGTGTGTTACATTATCATAAATGTTCTCTAGTCTCAGAAAACAAAGCCCTAAGTTTGGAAAATAATGCACATACAAATCTCTTCTTACAGGTATTAAGTATACAGAAATATACAAAGATTTCTCTATTACTGTAATATATCATCAGAATGCCCCACATCCCACATTTTTGCTCAGGTCCACTGTACCAGGAAGCATAAACTACAAAGGTAACAAGCAACCTGAAGAAGACATGGTTTGTATAATATAATTACATCATATGTATATATATATATCTACAACAGTGCAAATATATCACAGCGTGCAGGCAGCAATAGTCTCTAGAGAAGCAGAATAAAATTGATTCATAGTAATGCAAATGCATTACAGAAACAAGAGACGACAATGACATATTAGATATTCAGAATATGCACACTTGAGCACGCTGATTTAAAATCATACCTTGCATTGACTCTTGCTTAGAAAAACAAAAGAACCAAATGTTAAATAATTCAGTAACAGGTTCAAGGGCAGAATCTCACAATAAGGTCAGCTGACTCAGAAAAGGTATTTGATAAATCTTTACTGACACAGGTAAAGGCTTGGCCCCACTGCAGGACTTGTTTTCTTCTTTTAAGATATATCAGTGTAATAGTTTCAACTTTAATTTTCTTTTGCCATAATTTAAGGGAATTTTTTCCATATTTTTTTTTTAATTGTTTAACTTATTCACATTTGGAAAGGTGGTTGTAATTATCACTGAGGCCAGGAAAGCTTGTTTCTAGAAGTAACAGAAAGGAGTTTGTATAATGATTACCCTAAATGGGCCACTAAAATAAGCTACAACGGGGTCAGAAAAAAAGACATCACAGATGCCACTGAAGTAGAAAACCCCATCAACCTTAAAAAGTAGAAACTTCCATGTTGCCTTGCTGAAAAAGACACTTTTGATTTTTTTTTCTTCTGGAAAGAATGAAGCACATCTAGAGATCCAGCACACTGGGGTTTTGGTAGCTGAAAGAAGTCTCAAAGTGATTCCTCCACCTTTAACCATCCTGTACTCTTCCCAAGCAGCTCATTTTCACACCCCATGTGGACAGCAGCCATGAGTATCCAGAAAAAAAGGGACACAAGCAATTGATAGGCATGGGCTGAGCTGCACGAGAGCCCCCAGACACATCCTGGCTGGTCACCCTTTGTTTTACAATGCTGGCAACAGGTCTCAACAGAAATCTAAATCTCTTAAAGAAAGGTTCTACAGCTGACAACTGCACAAAATTATCATTCTTCATAAGATTTCAAAGTAACAAAAAGACTGAAGCTAAATTTTGTGCTCTACGGTACAATTACTCCTTCAGAAACGCTACGTGAAATATGTACAGAAAGAGAAATAAAGCATTAAACAGAATTAAAATGAAACTTGCTGTGTTTGCAGGCTCAGCCTGATACTTTTAGACATGTAATATGAAGAGTGATATGTGGGCTGACAAAAACCACTCAGTGGGATACACCACAACAGTCCCTTTGTGTATTTATGGGAACAGGCATTTAAGAGGAGGGCAGCAGGAGTCGACCCTGACAGTGCCACCGCCCCTGTTCACAAATGGCAGAGCTCCTGATTCACCCCAGTGGCTCTCAGCACTCAATTTATGCACTCACCAGTGCTGTGTGGCACTGCAGTGATCAGCCTGTCACAAGCTGTCACAGAGGACATGACACAGTGTCATTTGCTGCCTACTTCTAGTTCCCAACAGCTTTTCTCATGATCATACCTCATAAATGGATGTGCACACAGAAATTCCTGAGCAGTTGCACCCTGTGGGGCTGTCGCCCCTGTTGAGAGTTTTAAAGTTCTTCTAGAAGTTCCTATGCCTTCTGATATTTACATATTTCAACTAAGTTTTCTTACACACATGTTCATGTAAATAATGATTGTTTTGCATTCTTCTTGGTAGGAGGAGAGAACTGATGGACTGTGGTTTGAGCAGTGTGGTTGGAGAGGTGGCAGTTTCACCCTCCAATCCACTGTCATTTTTGCTATTGTATATACAGCAGAGTCAGAAAATAAAGTTGGCTTTTTTGGGGTTCTTTTTCTTTCCTTTTACATCTAGCCTGCCTCTGTGAGTTTGTCACAGTGTGACTATGGGACTGTTCTGGTAGGAAATAAAGGATGGCATCCAAGGAAGGATGGAGACTCTCCTTAGTGCTGTATTTACAGAAATATTTTTTATTGTATTTTGCAGCAGTAGCCAGATTAAGTTCTAGGTGGGCTTTGGCCCTTCTACAGCTCCTGAAGGGAGGTTGCAGACAGGTGGGGTTGGTCTCTTCCACCAGGCAGCACTGACAGAACAAGAGGACACAGTCTCAAGCTATGACAGGGAAGGTTTAGGTTGGATATTAGGAAAAAATTTTTCACTGAATAATAATAAAGTACTGAAATTGCCTTCCCAGGGAGGTGGTGGAATCACCATCTCTGGATGTGTCCAGAAAAAGACTGGACTTGGCACTTGGTGCTATAGTCTAGTTGAGGTGTTAGGGCATAGGTTGGACTTGATGATCTTCGAGGTCTCTTCCAGCCTCATTATTCTGTGATTCTGTAATTTCTCCTTGAATAGCCTCACAGCATCCCTGCAGTCCTGCTGGGTTGCCTGCCCTTTCTTCCCAAGGTCACACACCCTGTTTTGTTCCCTGAGTTCCAGGCACAGCTCTCTGCTCAGCCAGGGTCCTCTTGCCCCTCTGGCTCGTCCTTTGGCACTTGGGGATGGATGGTCTGCCCCTGCTGTGCCCTTAGGATTCCTTCCTCTGGATCCCCAGACTTCCTGGACTTCTCAGCCCTTCAGGGCTGCCACCCCTCCATCTGCCCAAGAACCAAAACCTCTCACCTCAAGTTCACTTTGTGCCCAAGAGGATCTCCAGCTACCACACCACCCACCAGCCCTCCTCTGCTCACAGACAGGTCCAGTGGGGCATCACCACTGCCTGGTTCCCTCTCCAGCTGTGTCAGGAATTACCTCCCACACACTCCAGGAACCCTTTGGACTGTTTCCTCTCCGCTGTGTTGTATTTCCAGCAGACATCTGGCAAGTTAAAGTCTCCCACAGGAAAAGGGGCACGGATCACAAGACCTCCCATGGAACATTTCACCTGCCTCTTCATCCTGGCTGGGTGGTCTGCAACAGACCCCCACCAGGATATCTGCTTTGTTGGCCTTCCCCCTGCTCCTTAGAACCCCAAAATCCACCCAGCCCTGTGTAAATGAGTCAGGCAGGATCTCCTCTGTGAGGATCACTGGCGTGGCACAGGTCAGTACGTGCCACACTTCCCTGCAGGAACAAGTGTTTAATAAAACATTCCTTTTTGCTGAGAACACAGAGTTTGACACAGAAGTGTGGATAGAACTGTCAGTCACCTGAGACATCCAGTTCTTGGACTCAAGTTCATTATCTCCCTCTTACATAACCAGCTCTCCCTGTTACATATGCACGTATTCCCCTCTTTTAATTAAAAGGGTACTTTGTGCTCTAAATTCTAAGAGATGGAGAGAATTTCAACATCAGTCTTCTTCCACTCCCTCTGACCTGTAACAATGGAACCTTCTCAGTTTCTTAAGAGTAGTATCTGCTTTTCAGATATTTTATTTAATTGTAAATAATAATGCTTCAAGTTATTTTTAAAAACCATCAGAGTTTTTCAGATTATATGCAAGTTTCCACAAAGAAAAACAACAAAAGAAGTACGAAGGACCTAAAGTCTTAACTAATGCACACAGTAATCAAAGCAATGTCTCAAAAGAAGTCAAAATAGAACAAGGAAGCCAACAGGGCACTAAAGTCTTCCTGCAGTCCCAACAAAAATCATACATTCACTTTTCAATGAAACCTTGAGCCTCTTACATAACTTTTAGCCAGGCTGTGACTGGTTTAAACAGCAATAGTGGCATTGATTTCAAAGAGTTTATGGCTCTTTATATATGGCTATAAAACTGAGGATTCAAAAATTGAGGTTTTGAAGCCTTCAGAATCTTGCTGGCCTTATTATTCTTCCAAGTGAAGCCTCCAGAGCTTCACAAAGTGCTGCTCAACACACCAGCACCTGCATGCTCCACTCATTAACCTGGGAATGTGTTTTATACCAGCCTGATGGAATTTATCTCCACATAAAGAGGAAAAAAACCAACCTGAGACTACGTTACAAATCTTTGCAGTAGATGAAGACATAATTGGGGTGGATTTTAAATGCTTCTGTCCCACAGCAGTGACAAAAGAGAGATCATTAGTTATTTTATGAGCTAGGGAAGGAAAAAAATATTATCTCGTCTATGTGTATCACTGAGTCTCCAGAGAATAACTTCTTTACTGGGATGCTACAGTCCGAAAGCATTCCTAACAATAGTAACTTACAGCTAAATGCTGCCAGCAGAAGGCTGGAAAAAGCATACCCAACAAAAAAAGGAGTGACAAAAAATATTCCCAGAACAGGAGTTTTCTCAGGAACACCCGTGGAGGACCAGATTTTTGGCTACCATAACACAATACAAACTTACAGTACAGGAGGCTAAAAACATAAAATGAGACAGTCTAAAACCAGAGGAACAGGCACAGATAACAAGACAGCATCCAAGGAATTCATGCAGCTAAACTGGTCTAGATGGGGGAGAACAGCATCCTGCAAGATACCAGTGTGGAAATGCCAGCAAAGTTCCCTCATTTGGAGCACTGCAGGGGATTGTCAGGGTGGAATTTGGTAAATGGTGCTGGTAAACACAAAACATGAACCCTGAAGGTATTCAGTGCCAGGGATGTCACACTCTTTGACCTCAGCTTGGACCACAAGTCTGCAACCCAAGAGTAATTTGGCCAACGTACCTTTGTCTGCTTGCAAAAAGTGTTTGAACTGCCTGTAATAGTCACAAATACATTGAGAGTCTTGAAATAATCAAGGCACGTTGTGCTAAAGGGATTTCAGCTTGTGCCTTGTTTAAAAACTGTTCACAGCCATGAGTATTATTTAGAATAGCTTGAATTCTTAATTTCTCAAATCTGACAGCCACATAGGTTTGTACCTGCTCGTGATTATGCCTGGAAAAGCTGCAAAGCTGTACAAAAGCTTTTTGAGAAAAAACAGCAACAAAAATTATGCAAAGAGGCTTGCAAGGAATTTGTTTTTTCTTCTACAGTAAAGATTGATTTTGCTTTCACAGGTAAACCTTATTTTCAGGGAAAGTTCAGCTAGCCTTCCTAAAATATGTGACTTGATTTAAAGCCTTCCAGACCCCAGGCTTAGTTCAGATGTCCTGAGTTTAACAGATACATGCAGTCTGTGTATTGGTAAATCAAACAGAGCCTGGGCACGGGTCAGGAAAACTGGGAAACAATTTTCTTCCCTGCTAAATGGCAGAGCTGCAGCCCAGCACAGCCAGAGCTTTTGCAGACAGTGTTTGGGCTCTGTAAAAGTCAGTACAGGGCCTATTCCTGTAACCCCAGCTGTGTGAGAACTAACAGAGCTGAGCCTGGCACTATTTATTTCACTAGGATAGACACAGCCACGGAGTATTGGAGAAGTCTGTGGATTTTTGACTGCTGGAGGCCAGAAGATGCACCAGGTCCCTCTTATCTACCCTGCTGCCAGGAGCTGCTGGGCTCTTCAAGGCTTTGCTGACATTGAGCTGCGTCCAGCCTGCAAGAGTTCAGCATCCTTAAGGGAAAAATGCATTTTCAGAACGTGCAGGCCTCACTCAGGGGTCTGGGATACCCAAAAAAATTCACAGTCATGGCAGAAAGCTGTGCAATTTGCACCAAAGCTCACCAAGGTGCCCAACATGAGGATGGTGGATTAATTTTGGGTTGAAGATTGGTGAGAAAATTCACATCAGCTTGGAACCAGAATTCCCTCTGCCAAATTTACAGAGGTGAGATACCCAAAATAACAGTTTCATTGGTGTCCAGATCCATTGATTCTCATGTTGTGCATTTAGACTTAGGGATGAGAAGAAAACTGCCTGGCATAATTAGACCTGCAGTGTTAATTAGTATATTTTTGGGAGAGTCCCACACAGAGTGTGTTGCAGATACAATGGACACCTCTGGATGAGGCAGTCACAGGTGTTTTAACACAGTAGCCCAAGCTTTGATCTGTGGACAGCTCTTGCACTCTTTTAACAATCATTTTAGGGACAGATCCTGCTTTCACAATTTAATTAAAAATAAGCCTTTGGAGTGCTTTGATTTTCTTCAGTCGCAGGAGGTAGATCAAACAGATAATGAACAGAGTTATTATCCCAAAATACCACAAAAACTAAGGATTTAAAGACATTGCAAAAGAATATTTTGTTTTCAACCATTCAGTGACAGCTTGACCATGTCTAACTGCATATGCTATCCAGTGCTGCTTCCAAATGGGACCACAGGTTTAGTGCAGATTCAGAACCTGCCTTTTTCTCCTATCATTACAGTTTTCAGATATGAGACCAGCTCGACAAGTAAAGCACCAGAATTCTAAATTCAGACAGAAACAAAAATAATTACTTGAATCACTTTAGGTTTCTTTTAAAAAAGTATCCATATTAAAAAGATATCTTTACCTTATTAATACATTTACAGACTTTTAGCCAGAAGGGGTAATTCTGTGGAAAAGAATTGCAAAATAATACATAGAAAACTGCAAAGATGAAATTTAAAAAGATGAGAGAATCCTATTTTCTTTGCATTCCTCATTTTGCATCTCACTACCTTGTAACTAGAGATGTCATTACACTATTCTGGCCATCAGGACTGGGATCCTGGCAGCCTTATCCCAAAATTGGTTTTCACAAGGAAAGCTCCTGCAGCCAGGTTTCTTGTTTCTCAGTATTGATATTCTCGTGGTATAAAATTCCCTTCTAGTTCTTCTTCCTAGTTAAAGCTAGAAAGTGTAATGAAGACATGACCCAACCCAACTGGACTGATTGGCTTAACACTGAATGTCCACTATCCCATTGTGGCTCTCCATGGGCTCGGTCAGGATACATCTGGCTGGGCACTGGGGACCAGCCTGCCACAGTGAGACAATGTCAAGTGCCCTCTATTGCATGTCTAAAGTTCTCCTACTGCATCTCCCCAGCTGCTCTTCCTTTACCTCTCCGCTCGGATTTTGTATCTGAGGACAAAATAGGCAATCAGGCGCAGAGAGAAGAAGAAAATCCCAAGAACGATGAAGTCCAGGTAGAGTTTGGCATTTTCTACATCCAGTTCTTTCAGGATGGCCTCTGATTTTTGGAAGTGGCAGGTGTCATCTTTGTCACAATGCAGATCTTCTCGATCCAGTCCGTAGATGGAGAGGATGACTCCTTCGAACCCGTATCTGGAAAGAAGAAGGAGGGATTACAAGGAAAATCCATCTGATCGGGTTAGAAGTGCAACATAATCCCTGGGGGAGTTCAGCTGAGATGCTGAGGGGTTCAATATTGCTGTGGCACATCTGTCTTGGGGCAAGTTCTATCCCTGTTGCAATCAGGCACATCACACATCACGGGCATTTTACGTAAGAGAGAACAAGGGCAGGAGTTTTGCTTTTAATGCTTCCATTTAGTGCACAGTGCAATTTCCCCAACAGAAAAAATGTCAAATCAGAAAGCAGCATAATTTCAGCTCATATTCAGAAATTCCCCATTTAAAAGTGACATCATTATTTTGCCTTTTTTTTTTTCTTTTCCTTATGATGCAACAGGGACACAATTATGGCTTTAAGTCAGAAATATGTTAAAACCAGCATCAGTCTAGAATGTCCCTTCTCCTTCCCTCTGTGCACTAACAGTTTTACTGATAATGTTCCCAGTATTTGCTTTTGCAAGGAGATAAATCATCATGGATCTCAGGCATATGAAAGCTCCCTCTGGCTTCAGGAGACCCCACATGAGCCAGGCAATGATTTAAGGCCTCACCTTGATTTCTAAGTATTAATTCAGGGGGTGCTATCTCATTATCTTCGATAGGAATCTGTGTAGGACCTCACTTGGCAACAAAGATTTTTTTTTTGCCTGGGATTTCTCAGTAACAGTGCAGCTTGGGCAGGGTGGGGAAATGGGGAATGGTAAAATTCCCCACTCCTAATTTCAGCTAAAAACATTTCAGAGTATAGTATAAACATCCCTCCAGAGGTTTCCTGGTGGGAATTGTCCCATCCTAAGACAGCTGTGTCAGGCACAGACAGCACATAAGGTGCCTAGGGATCTTAAAGCAGCAGTTTAAATTAGAGGTGACACAAATCCTGAGCCTCTTGTGGCTGGGCTACTGCAAAACTTAAAAACAGGCCTTTATCCAACAAACCTATCTAGGATACAGCACTGAATTATGCATTTTCTGTATAATTGAAATGAGGTGCTGGCATCAATTTCTTGGTTGGTGATGTCCCTATTATTTAATACATCCACTACTGCAAAATCCAGGAAGATTTTCATGCTGTGCAATCCCACTGAATTCAGAGGGATTGACACGGACTTGTGGCCAGTAACCTTTTCCTATTTATTTCACAACATAAACAACTTAAAATGCAGAGAGATAATATGGTTTACATCACATGTGTGAGTATGTTTATACTCTAAAAGAATATGCTGTGAACAGTCCCTTTGGCACCAAAAATAACCTACCAACCAAGCAAGCAAAAGCAAACAAACAGCATTTCCAGATGGGAGGGTGAAGGCCTCCCCAGCAGTACCTGACATAGGAAATGTAGGACATCCACTGGAGGTATGTTGGGATGGTGTCAAAGCTGACAAAAAACCCAGAGAACAGGAGGACTGGGATGGCAGTAACTGGGCCCACAAAAGTTGCCACCTGTGAAGAGAAGGAACAGAATGTCTCTTGTCAGAAAGACAGAGAAAAAGTAAAAGTTAACTTGCTCTCCTGTGACTCCTAGGAGTAATTCTCCTCCGCAAAATTATCACAGCTTGAAATACCAGAAAATTGCTGATTTTCTTTTTCTTGTGAGATTTCCTCTGAGGAAAAGAGCAGAAGCACAGGGATCATTTGAAGTAAGGCCATCCCCAGGCTGGCACAGAGTCAAGGGTTCTGCTGCAGAAATCTTGACAGCTTCAATGCATATTGAGGTCAGAATCATCTGTTCTGCTGTGGAATGGTCACCTCAGCACATCTCCTGCCAGGAGTTACATGGCTAGCTTCCAGTCATGCCAACAGCTGCCACTCTCCCTCACTTTCCAGAAATTTGGGGTTTGGGCAAGCCTTTTCTTGCCTTTCCTTCTACAGCTTTTCTGGGTGTGCATGGAAGAACCTTCTCCTGAGCTACTGTGGAAAATTTCCAGTTTATGGGGATGCAGAAACACATCAGTCCTGCAGTTTCCAGGACCTGCTAAGTCTGGGATGAACAGCAAGTGACAATCCACCCAAGCAGGGGCAGGCACAGCCCTTTCAGGCGGGGCAGGAACTGCAGAGCCTCACATCCAGGGCATGTCTGGGCTCTGGAGTGAGTGGGGAGCATCAAGAACTCTGCTACAGCAAGAAATTTTCTGCTTGTCACCACTCAAAAAACATCTTGGGGACACAGCAGCCCTGACAGGGAGCAGAGTTGTCACAGCAGAGCTCCTGTGAGACCATCAAACACCATCAGTACTGTCTTAGGTTGGAAGATGTGGCTGGGGATGCATGTTCTATCCCCATCTGTCAGAGCTGGGGCAGTTCTCTGCTGTTCATTGGGCAGGTTTTTATTTATCTCTCCCACAACCAATCCTCCCTCTAGGAGATCTCTTCTGTCCATGGGCCATTAATTATTAATTATCTTCTGTTCATGGCCAGTGAGTGTCCCTGCATGGCTGAGAAAATTCCATCATCCATGGGGAGATGCTCTGCCCAGGGGAGGAGCCAAACATTCTTACCTGGATCCAATCTGACCTGGGAACAGCACAGCAGCCTTTGCCCCCTGCATTCCCAGAGGAGCAGCTTTCTTCCCCCTGCATTCCCAGAGGAGCAGCTTTCTTCCCCACTGCATTCCCAGAGGAGCAGCTTTCTTCCCCCTGCATTCCCAAAGGAGCAGCTTTCTTCCCCCTGCATTCCCAGAGGAGCAGCTTTCTTCCCAACTGCATTCCCAGAGGAGCAGCTTTCTCCCCACTGCATTCCCAGAGGAGCAGCTTCCTTCCCCCAGCATTCCCAGAGGAGCAGCTTTCTTCCCCACTGCATTCCCAGAGGAGCCCAGGCCCATCTCCCCCAGCCCTGGAGCTCCAGAGGAAAACTCCCCCCTTGTGCAGGATCCTGCTCCAGCAGAAGCACAGCTGGCACTGCAGGAGGGCTGAGCCACCCTGGGATGGGGCTGTGACACCTCCCTGACCCACGGGGGACAGAGCCTGTTCTGACTCTGGCAGTGGGGTTTTTTTGTTGTTGTTTGTACTACTGCATTTGTATTTTTAATTTTCCTAGTACAGAATTGTTGTTCCTACTCCCATATCTTTGCCTGAGAGCCGCTTAACTTCAAAATTATAATAATTTGGAGGGAGGGGGTTTACATTTTCCATTTCATGGGAGGCTGCTGCCTTCCTTAGCAGACACCTGGCTTTTCACACCGAGATAAGTACCTGGAGGGATGTGGAGGCTGCACCTATGAGCAGGCCCAGTGACTGAGCCACCAGGGATGTCATGGTCCCCAGGGCTGCGAAGAGGACGAAGCGGAGCGCGTCGGAGGGCTGGGAAGTCATCCAGTACACGATGCTGCAGTAAGCCACAGGGAACATGATCTGCAAGGACAAGCACTGGGAGTTAGCCCCTGACAGCCAGACATCCACTGCTCCTCTGAGTGGCACAGAAACGTGGTGGTGTTCCCATTAATCCACAGCTCCCAGCCTTTCCATTACATGACATGGATACCAGTCTTTCTACTTGGGCATTTGAAAACAGATTCCACTCCCATCCCTTCACAATTCTCCTCCTGCAAATAAGCAAAGCTGGTCATGTGTTTAATAAAAGAATGTTGGGTCAGGTCTCTGCTTTTGTGAAGTCCTGCACTCTCTGATTCATCCCTGATGCTTTACCAGACATATATGGACATTTTCCCCACTATTCCAATGGATAAAATACCAGTACTAATCTTCTTGGAAAGTGGGCTTGTCATTCATGAACTGAAATGGTTCTACTTTATTGAAGAATAGAGCATGTACCTGAAAAGGAACATCAGCCATGGTTTTGGCGAGGTAATAGGCTTTCAGGCTGTACCAGTAGTTCAGATGCTCTCTGAGAAACACTCCCATCTCAAGGGGAACTGCAGGGAACACAGATTATTCACTTAGATTGCTGCAGGGTGCAATACTGCTTCGCATAAAAACGACGCAAATGTTGTTGTTAAACACATAAAAACAAAACTCACCCATGTCTAATCCTGCACTGCTGCAGTCCCAGGGTGGGACTGGAACTCTCAGGTCTTTGACAGAGCAGCAAAAGTTTCAGTGATTTGTAATGGAATATAAAAAGTCAGCCCCTAGAGCTGCTCACTGTTGAGACTATGACCAGTCTACTCAGATGATCTGAACTTCCCTTAAAGAGGATTTTAAATTAAAAGTGGTATCAAAACTTAAAGAACTTGGTTATTCTTCTTGGTCCAACAGGGAATCCAAAGTAACCGCATTCCCAGAGCAAGTGTGAAACAGTCCATTCTGCAGAAGTTTGCCTCTGACACCACATGAATAACCTGATTTTATGTAGGAGTCATAACTTGGAAGCCCCAGAGAAATTATTCCATCCTCCCTAAATCCAACCACGAGCTCAGGGCATGGTTGAGATGCACTGGGATAAGGAGAAATTCCAGTCCAGGACTGTAACACTGAACTGTCCGTGCCTAAAAACCCTGGAGAAACTGGGCCAAGCTGGCCAAGCCTGTTTCTGCTAGCACAGTAATGCTTCTGTGGGTGCAGGATTGATCCCCCCACCTGTCTTAGAGGTAGAATCACAAGTCAAATGCTGTCTTACACAAAACCAGACACATTCCAACATCCCCTCCCCAGTGCTGTGACTCACAGGTGAGGACGGTCGGCATGAGTGCAGCAAACATGAGGAACAACATGGAGAAGAAGAGGAACCCTGAGTTGCTGAGGACTTTCTTGGCTTCATTGCCAATGCCCAAGTAGAGCAGTCCAATGAGCAGCCCAATGCCAATGTGTGAGGTGATCCTCAAGTGTGTCAGGACCTGTGAAAAGCAAAGAGTGGCATCTATCAGAAAGTCTGGGCTCAAAACTGTCGGAATCCAGGGCATCCCTCTGGCTGCCCTGACAGGT